TCTCTAGATCCAGAGCTCCAATACCTTGAATATTGCAACAATGAAAGTCTCTTACATCCATGTAACAAATAGAAATAACAGAATAGAATATTTATACAAAGAAAAACAAGTAAAATAAAAACATTCTCCTCAACAACCTTGAGCAGTTGAGCATAGAAAATTTCCACTTTTCCAACATTACATACATAACTTATGTCCAATACTGAAGTAAGAATGTGCAATTTCAAGTGCACACTAGCATACATTACTTATGTTCAGTAATCAAGTAAGCATGTGGAATTTCAAATGGCCACAGGAACTAATCAGAATGAAAATCTTGCATGTCCCACGTTTTAACCAATCAAGCATTGTTAAATCAATTCATGAGTTCTTCCATTATAGAACAAATAAAAAATCTATACCCCATTGTGATCCTAGAAAATTAGGTAATTGGATAGATGATAAGAATGTGGCTTGAAGCCACTCTCAAAGAACACAGTTAGATATTGGAAACGGTGAGCAGTGTGAATTATAAATGCAGTTAATGCTGATCAAGCAGAAAAGGGTTCAATGTTATGCCAGTTTAAAATGAGGAAGAAAAAAGGCTGCAATAGTTGGAAATATCATGATGATAGGAACGAAATTCCAAATGTAGCATCATATTTACGACTACATGACTTGCTTAAACCAGTCTGTGAGCATGAGCTACAAACTGCAAACCATAAACACAACTCCAAAAGTCAAGGCATGCAGAAAGCAAAAGCGCATCACATTCTTCCACTTTATAAATCACAATTTCAGTCACATCTTAAGAGTTATATTAACAACAAATCAATGTTTAGCATTCAGAATGAGAGATGAAATTAAGAGAGGGGATCCCCCAAACCGTAAAGGATAATGCAAAGGAAAATACCTCATGGCCATCGTGGCTAGACAAACAACAAGCAGTGCAAATTCCAGCATTCCCATCAGGGGTGCATGTCAGGCACGAGAAAATAGCCTATCTTTTCATGTAACCTTTAGAATAGGTACACTCGTCACCCTCATCTCCACCCAAAACCAAATCTGCTTCCTTTAGATTAAAAATAACACGTTAAACATTGCCAATAGCATATATAGCTCAAAGAAGCAGAACAAAAACAATAGCAAATCAACCAATAGCTAATCTTCTTATATTTGAGAATTATTTGCATCTAATACTTTTTCAATCTAAATTTATGATGGAAGATATATTTGTCGGAACTCAAACTAGCATGCATAAGATGCATTCCACGCTTGCATAAAATTAATAAGACAAAGCTTCATCTCGTGAAATTTTCTCAAAATTTAATCAATGTTCATACATTAGTTCAAGTATTAAGTATGTCTCAACCAAAATTTCTGCTCCGAAAAAAATAAAAGATTTTGATTTTATCATTTCTAACCCAAAAAAAAAAAAGGAGACAGAAAGAAAAAAAAATCCCTCGTCCACAAACCAGACGAAACAAAAAAGTCCTAACTAAATTCAATATTCCCGCAAAACAAAACCCTAAACAGATAAATTGGGGTGCAAAAGCCTTTACCAACTCTTCTTCTTCGATGCTCTCAAGATACTCGTTGATTGACATGGTCTGCTCACCATCATCGTCTAACTCGGAAGCCATTTTGCCCAAATCGCCAGGACCTTCAAAACCAAAATCTGCACTACCTGAACTTGAAATTTGAAGTAAAAAAAAGAAATAAAGGAAAAATATCAGCATAACATTTCTGAAAACAAACAGTTATTTCATATCTCTATTTTACTCCTTCGGGGAAACCTAGAGTTGCGCCCTATAACGAGAAACCCCAACATTGAAAAAAAAAAAAGGTTACCTTTTGAACCTCGCAATTAACAGATTTTAAGACAGTTGATAAGGGATTAGATTGTTGATTATCGGATTAGGTTTCTGTTGGAGGAACGCGATAGACAAAATGAGAGGAAAGGAACAACAGTTGGGGATTGAGAATTTGAAATGGGAGGACCAAGGGCTTCTATACGTGATTATAGTAGAATGATCGGATCTGTACGGAAATTTTCCCGCCACAAAGCGCCCTGATGGAACCAAATTACGCGGTCCGTTCCCAATGTTTTCAACCGTCACATTTGATTTATGAAATATTTGGAAATTTCATAATTTATTATTCTTTCATATTGTAAGTTCCATATACAAGACGTAAAAAAATTGTCATTTTTTTTTCATAAATTTATGTTTTTAATTATATTTATTTTTAAATAAATTTTAATAAGACACGTGATAAAGCCTACCTTTAGGCCCAATGTAAGCATTCGTGGTACTTAACCAAACTTATTTTCATACTAGATAACATCATAGCATTCGTCATTGGTGAAGCAGAAGTACCCAATACCGAACAGGTTGGGGTAAAGAATTTTCTTAATTTTGAAGAGGGAAGTTCCTTACTCATGAACCCGTGGTTCAAACTTCAAATTGATTGGACTACGGGCTATAGCCCAATGACTAGTTGTTAGTAGCATTTGCATTTCTCTTACAAAAATCCTTCTAAACAACTAAATAAATAGAATAGCGTACCATCACACTTGATCGGGTAACCTTAAACTTCGTTTTAAGAGGAAAAATAAAGTATTAAATATGAATAGTCATGGTCTTGCAATATTCTACGCTTTAAATTAAGCATTCAAAAAGAAGGATGAAAGGAGAATGAAGGCAGCTGGTGTGGTGGCTTAAAAGCCGATGTATTTGGCAGATTCAAAAACCAATCAGATTTAGTAACAGGCAGCTTTGCTACATCTAGTCTGAGGTCTGCGCCAGGTTGGTTTATAAGTAAGTCTTGGTATTTCGGTCGAGCAATGGTTGGTTTATAAATTCATTAAAAATTTATAAAGAAATTTTTTAAATAAATTCATTAAACTTGACTAAATAAATATATTTGAACCAATTTAAAGAGTGAATACACTGAATTAAATTAAAAAACCTCTTTGCTAAAAAAAATTTATACGGAGACAACTACGGTTTGTTGGCCAGCAAATTATCCACGTCTAGATGCATTGAAATTAGCGGTTAGTATTACTAATTTAACGGATTTTTTAATAACTAGTTGTTTAACTTCACCATTAAAATTTCCATACCTTTAAAATTATAAACTATAAAATAAATTCACGTTGTAAACACAAATCCTGTCAAGTAATCATCAAAACTTTGTAGCCTTCATTTGTTTTGTGAAAAATAATTTTTAAAAAATATTTTTTCTCATTTAAATATTTATTTGACAAAAAAATTAGTTGGTTAATAGAAAATAATTTATTAATTAATGAAAAATGAGATAATTTTTTAAAAAATTATCTTATGAATTTGAAAAACAAAAAATATTTTTCGAAAAAAATTGTTTATGAGTAGAATTATTTATAAAAAATTTTTAGTATATTTTATTTATAAATAATATTATATTAATAATTAATTAATATATTAATAAATAATATTATATTAATATTTAATATAAAGAATAATAAATTGTTTTATTTTAAGTATTTTTTATATTAACATAGTATTTTAATATTAAATATTATTATTAAAATATAAATATTTTTTAATATCAATAATATTAATAATAAATTATTTCAATAAATTTTAATAATAAATAATTTTTAATATTTTAATAATTATATTAATATTATTTTAAAAAATTTTCAAAATTTTTTTTTTCATTTAACTACTCTAAATAACAAAAAATCTCTATTAATTAAAAAAATATAAATATTTTCTAAAATTTATTTTTTAAAAATCATTTTCTGTTAAATAAACCAAGCCGTATTTTGGTGAGCTCAAAATCTTATACTAATAACATTAAGAGTAAAAAAGTCAATCTGACACAGCCAAATTAAAAGATAGTGGCTGCATCTATTCTGCAAAAATAAGCATCAAGGTGATGGAAAAGTTTTGATTAATAATGCATTGGTTTGCTTTCTATACTGTTCTTCACTGACTTGTTCTCAATTCAAGAAATATTACAAAATTTTCTATGCTTATAACCTACAATATTACAAAGAAGAAAAAAAAAATTGTATCAAGGAAAGGAAGAAATGACATGACAGTTTTTTTTCTTTAGGTTTCATTACTATTTTGAGCTTTGAATTGGTCTCTTTTAACCGGCCACTGGGACTAGCTAGGGAACAAACCAAGTTGCTAATAATAAAAGCCAAGAAAGTAAAAAAGATTAGCTCATTCTCTTGTTGACCCGCCAACGAACAATTCTAGTGAGAACATCTTAACTGTTGGCATGCTTGACAAACTCGTTGCCAGCCATTAGATTAGACACTAACGTCTTACGTTCAAATTAATAAATATATGTATATAAGGTAGTTATAAAAAGATGGCAGTATAAGATATTTGGTAGGGAACCATTGTATTTTTATGGTAGATGAATTTTTGACCAATTAAAATTTAAATTAAAGGTTTATATTTGATACAGTCAGCATATGGATACTATCATGCTATTCATTATCAATGCAATTGGATGAAAATATTTTGGAACCTGATTTAGAAAGCCAATTAATCTTACGGTGAATCTTATTCAACTAAGATAGGGTACTTTGAATCACAAGTTACAAACCCTTCATCCATTTATCTACTACAGATTAGCAATGGTCTTTTTTGCCCCTCTTTACTTTTAGGGGATAAATAAGCTATCCATTTTTTTCTGTATATTTGTACAATTTTTTTTTAAAGATGCACTCAAGTATTCACACACTCTTTTGGACCCAACCCATTATTTCCTTATTATCACATCCAGTTTATTATTAGGATTGAGCTTTAGTATTTATGTTTTAAGTTTTGATAGGATAACTATCGCCAATGGTTTTTTTTCAAGTATAAAAAAAAAGTAAAATAGAGGATAAATTATTCAATTCCAAAATCAAAATGTCGGAAGTCTTCACTGAGAACATGAAACTTATGTACAGCAAAAAAAGAGTTACTATAATATTATTATTTATGATAAAAGGAGTTTGACAAAATCCAACAAGAATCCAATTGGAAATAGAAACACATTATAATGTGGGAAAGAAATGAATGATCTTGAACAAATCCTAAGAAACAACATGTGTCAACTTCCCATTGAGACGTATCTACCTAATTGTAAAAACTGCAAGCTCTCCAACCGCAGAGAAATCATCCAAATTTCTACGCAAGATCAACTCCTAACTTGAAAGCATAAGGCTAATTAAATACCGTACCAACAACCAAAAAAGGCTTACACGCAAATCAACGTTCCTATTCAAGCACGAAAATGGCTCTTCTAACATTTCTCTCTTTCATCTTCTTTTCACTCTTTCTTCAAAAGCCAACTACTGCTCAACGTTGTTCAACTTCATGCCAAGGCGGAGAACCAGAAGTCAAGTTCCCTTTTGGGCTAAACCCTGATGGCAACCGAAATGGTAGTTGCAGCTATCCAGGTTTTGGTCTTTCCTGCAGCAACAAAACGGGAGCACTAGTCCTTAATCTCCCAGAATCCGGAGAATTCACAGTGAGATACATCGATTACAAGGCCCAACAGATATGGATCAACGACCCTGATTTCTGTCTTCCTCAACGGTTCTTGCAGTCTTTCGATATATTAGGAACTCCTTTTGACTCGGAATTGTGGTATAACTTTACGTTCTTCAATTGCTCTGCTAGCGATGTAGCTGTTACTGGGTTAAGGCCAATTCCATGCCTTAGCAATCAGAATTATTCTGTTGTGGTTTCCAACACAGGCTCTTCTCTGGATTCTATCAATGGTTTACAGTCTACATGTCACGCTATAAGGACAGTTACAGTTCCATTTGTTTGGTATGGCTGGTTGGACGGAGTCCGGTTAGATTGGTACAAACCTGATTGTAGCTCATGTGTTACACGTCGAGGGGATTGTCGATTCAAGAATAGAACAAGTCTGGAAATTGGATGTTTTGATCTGCCAAGCAAAGGTATTCTGATACTAACTACAGCTATGATCAGTGTTCTGTTCTAAAACGGTGGACTTTAAATTATCAAATTATAAAATTAATTTATGTATTTAGACAAAATTAGAGATTTAGTTTTTATGCTATAATTCATATAAGTTGAGTCTTTTTACTTTTAATGATTTGTTAATGTCAATTCAATCATTAACAGTATCAAATTTTATTTGAATACAAAAATTAATTGCATAATTTAACCTCACTTTAGTTGCGTTTATATACAGTAATTTTATGATTACTTCTTGGTGATATACAATTAATTGTTTATTATTATAAAAAAATTTAATAGTACTTGAAATAAGAGTATCGCTTAATCAAAAGGTTTTAGAATCCTTAATTTTGATCCAAAGTCATGAAAGCATGCTAATTTGCTTGGTTTTACCTCGTATCAGAAGATGAACAGTTTTTGATTGATCAAAGTAAAAACGTTACTAGAGTCAACTTGTATGATCTGTGGAGGCTGGAAGGCTCCCGTGGTCGCAATGTCGTCATCCATTAGATAGTCAACAAACAAAGGTGTTGGTTTCATTCTTTACAACTTAAAGTTGACATTGGTGCAGGGCAGAACAATCAACTTTTGCTGATTTTATCCAAAAAAAGAAAAAGAAAAAAAAGGAAAAGAAAAGAAAGATCAACCTTTCTGTAGGTGTTTTGAAATGCAGAAACGTTGGCAGTCATCGAGTTATGAAGACTTATTTAATCTGTCTTACAATGTCATGGTTCCTTGGTCAATATTATGAAACAGAGAGCGTAGACCTTGATTTTCTTTTCTTTCCACTGAATTTAGTTTCACATTGCAGATGGTCTTCCAAGGAGTGCCAAGTATGGAATTATCATAGGCATTGGAATTCCGGGACTCTTGTGCCTGATTGGGCTCGTTTCTTTCGTTGGTAGCCGAGTGAGAAATTATGGGCGTCGACGCAACCTACCCGTCACTGAATTCTCCACATCAATCTCCCCTTCACCGGCTGTTATCATGACAGGACTTGACGGACCAACTATTGAATCCTACCCCAAGACTAAGCTTGGTGAAAGCGGCCGTCTTCCCAAGCCAAATGATAACACTTGTCCCATATGCTTATCAGAGTACCAACCTAAGGAGACATTAAGGTCTATACCAGAGTGTAACCATTATTTCCATGCCAATTGCATAGACGAGTGGCTGAAGAGGAATGCTTCGTGCCCGTTGTGTCGCAATTCACCTGGCGGATCTGCTCCTATTACCCCATCTATATCTTCCTCTTCATCATCATCTTCTCTCTTACCATCATAGACAAATTCTATTATATGTCATTTATCTGACCTTGTGTATATATTGTACCTCTTGAGGATGTAAGTTTTGGGAAGTTCTTGCTGTGTGCTTGATGGGTTTTAGTTATTAGTCAGAAAACAAACATGTTGCCCTTCAAATTTTTTGTTTTTGATGGGTTGTTTAATAGATGATTAGTTTTTATTTATGTTCATATAAAAAATGGTATAAAGTCAGATACTACGGAGAAACAAAACAAAAGAAAAACTAAAGCCTTGGAGGGAATCAATGAAACTGTAGGGGGTAAAAAGCCGAACAAGAAATAATGCACCAGGGCCTCCACATTTCTCATTTCAGAACATTAATTACAAAACATACGGTATCAACAATTTAATCTAGGTATTAAAAAGGAAAAAGAAAAAGTAGATGGTAAAGTTTAAAATTCCAGATAATCGTAATGGTCCTAATTAAATTCATTTCTCAAATATTGCTAATTCTCCGTATTCTTTGAAATGTTCAGTTTTTAATTTTGATTAAGTAGTTTAAATTAAAAATACATGAAACATACTGTTTTATTTTATAAATTGTAGGAATTTTTAATTTAATATTTTGATATTTGAATATTTTGTAGGAAGATTTTATTTAATTTATTTCAAATATAAAGAATTACAAATTTACAATATAATTTAATTTAAATATATTTTATTATTCAATTAATTTAAAAATTAATCTAATTAAGGTTAAATTTTTAATAAATTTAATTTACTTAATAATAATAAAATAATATAATTTGATTCAAATTAACTAAACTGATGAATTAAATACTCCTAATTTAAGATGGGAATTTTGAGAATTTATTATAGTTATAAATCCTTTGAAGATTGCCAATCTATTATTATATTCTTTATTTACTCCAAACAAACTAAAAACATACTTATACAAGGCATGGAGATTTTTTTTATTGTCACATCTTTAGATTTAACGGATTTTTTTAATGTGTTATCAATTGTCTTTAATTTACGACATATTTAGAGGTAAAAAGTAAAAGTAAATGATCAAATTAACCAAAATTTGTTCTGACAGGAACTTGAAAAGTAGTCATACCCTTCTTAGCATTATTACTTTAGAGTTTTCATAGAATAAAGATAGTTTGTAGCCAATTGTGCTCTGTTTTTAATGTTCTGTTTCTCAAATAACAAGCAGTTGAGATGAAGTTCCTTCTTTTCAAATTATTTGGATTTTTTTTTAATTTTTATGAAATTAAAAAAACAAACTTTAGTATATTTAATATTTAATTTTTTTTATAAATTGAAGTTCCATCATTTTTAATGTTAAAAACTAAAAAAAAAAATTTATTAAAAATAATTATAAAATATAAAAAAGAGTTTTAGGTGTTAAAAAAAAAGAAATAATTTTAAAAAATCTAAAAAAATCAACATAAAAATGAAAATGGGAGACAGGGATTATTAATTACTGAACCAATTACCCACGTAATTTGTAAGGTCAGTCTCTAATTTTGTTGCGTTTTTCATTGGATTATCAAAGTAAAATAAAATTTACGGGAGTATTTTAAATATACTTTTTTTATTACAATATTATAATTATCTAATTATAATTAAAATTTATAAGAGAATTCATCATTTACAAGAGTAGATTTCAGATGATATTTTAATAGATTTTATATAACTTTAAAATTTAATTAATTAATTATAATACAATTATTATAGATAGTTTAATTCCAAAATTTACAGCTTTTCACTTTTGTTCTCGACGCTTACCACACATAGCTAGCATATTAACACCAAAGCTTTGAAGATGAAAGTACATTTATTTATATTTTTCAACAAGCATAAAGCAAAGACATTTTTTAATTTTTATAATCTCTTCTTGAGCAAAAAAAAAAAAAAAAAAGGCTTCTTTCAAACTCTTCTTATTCTTCTCCTACCTCCTCTTCTTTTTTCAACCATCAAGATGCGATGAAAGATGCCCAACAGGGTGCGCAAAGGTGCCAATTCGCTTCCCTTGTCAGATGATCACTAGCCTACCCGAGAACCGCTGTGGCTATTCCGGCTTCACTGTCATATGCAAAAAACGAAACCCAAAACATCCTAACATTTCCACCTCCCCGTGATTTCAGAATCGAATCCATCTCCTATTCTCGCAACTTATTGGGATAACTGATCCAAATAACTGCATTGCAAAACGTCTGCTTCAGGGATTTGATTACTCGGATCCGCCTTTTCAGCCACTTTACACTCGAAACTTCACGTTTCTCAACTGTACATCCGATGCACCGATTTTCCAAAGTACTGGAGTGTCACCATTTCCTTGTCTTGGTAGTGAAAGTTACTCTGTCGTAGTTTTACCGACTGATCATTCTAATGTGCCCAATAGGTCAAGGTGCACGGAGATAGCAACGTTTTTGTGCCCGAGTTGGGGGCTGGGTGATTTGTCTGACTCAATTGGTGATTTTATAACGTTAACATGGAAAGAACCAGATTGCAACATGGAAAAAACAGAATCCTACGACAAAAGAGAAGAGACAAGATTAGAGTCAAACCTCAATTTTTATATATTTTTTAAAGCTCTCTTGATTACTAAATCACGAAGCTGAAGATAAGTCAAGGTCATATTAAGAACTACTTTCATGTCTATTGTATCGAGGAGTGACTTAAACGAAATGCAGTATGCCCTTTGTGTTGCAATTAAAGAACGTACACTAGAAGAATATATTTAATTTAATTATTATTTTAAAGTTATATTTAATACATAAGATAATAGATAAAATAAAATAATAATTATTTTATATTATATTTAATTTATATAAAATAATATTATAAAAAAATTAATCTTTTTTATTATAAAATAATTTAATTTTTTAAAAATAAAATTAAAAAATTATTTTTAATTCATAAAATTAAATTTATATAATTTATTATACGTTTAAAAATTATATTAATAATTTAAATTATATAAATTTTAAAAAATAATTTTAATTAATAAATAAATTATCATTCTTAATTTTTATATATATCAAATATAAAATAAAATAATTTATTTAATATAATTTTATTTTATTCTGTCCTAATATTATATATAAATGTATTTTTATATTATTATTTAAACAGAAAGACTTGTTTTGGATAGCCGCAAACATTGAATTTTAATATGCTCTCTTGATCAGGATCATTGACGAAAAAATTCTGAGGTCAGCAGAATTGTCTTGTATTATTATTAATCTCGATGTATTGTGTATGTATATATATATATATATGCAATTATTTTTGACATGCTGGGAGATCATTAAGAAATAAAAAAGATCTCTTTTATTTGGTGTTGCATTTGACTTCAATCTTTTTGCATGCTTTAATTGCAGATTAAGTTCTTCATTTGGCAGTCAGCCAACTACGAACTTTTCTTTGCAGCGCTTGCTATAAATGGCAGGAACCGTACTGCGACCAACCATGATCTAATCCCTCACGGGTCACTCACTAAGTGAGATCAGTCCGAGTTTAACCATACATATTGCAACTTACAGCTTTTACAAAATTCTCAAAATCATATAAAAAGTTTTATTTTTACAAAGGAGAACAAAGCGTAAGAAAAATTGAAGAAAGAGAATTTGTAAGTGGTGAAAATGGAACCCTAATCTTATTGAAAACCACAATCTAAAAAAGTTGGATGAACTATTGGCTAAGTCCAAATTTAATAACGTACGGCTAAAAGATTCTAACAAGATTAAACAAATTACAAGGTACGTCTAAAAGATTCTAATAAGATTAAACAAATTTTTAAAGAAAATGGCCTAGCTAAAGGGGTTAATCTCAAAGACAATGCCGTCTAAACATATATTTTTATTTAATTTAAAAAGAAACCATATATATTTTGACTTTGAGAATGATAAGTATCTCTAATTAACCAATTGTTTCTTTGTTTAAATTTACGTTTTCCAATTAACAAACAATCGGCGAGGAATCAAGTTTACCACATTAGCTGCCGAATCGATCATCTCTACATATCTAGGTTCAGTTGCCTCCAATTTGTCTCATTGATTTCTCATTGAAATTTACTGATTAATATAAGTTTCTACAACTTAATTTTCTATATGTACATACTCAATGCTTAGATACACAAAGCTAGCTTATAAAGTAATGGGATTAAGGTTAAATTTTTCACTGTATTATGGATTAATATTGAATATTATTACTGTACTTTAAACCCGCCTATGGGTTTTGGCCAAAAAAAAATCTTGTCCAAGGGTCGCGTCAGTGTGCCTAACTTGACTTTAGTCAGGTTTTGGACAAAGTTTTTCAAGTTCCTGGCTTGAGATATTATCTAATTAATAAAATATTTTTATTCAATTTTAATTGGAAAATATATTAATTAACAATATTAAAATATTTATATTTTAGTTTTTTAAAACAAATCTAGCCTTTGAGACTCAATGCGCTAGGCTATGAGATGGGTTTTCAAAAGGTGAACTTAACCCAAATCAATCAAGGACAAGTGTATTATGTTTTTAAGATTCGTCTGGATGATTATCGAGATTGGTTATAATGATACTAAAAATTATAATAAATATTAAATGAATTATTATAATGATAAAATTAAAATAAATAATAAAAATTTATATGTATTTGAATGTAAAAAATAAATTATAATGAAAAAAAAAGATTATTAAGGATATTAGATTAAAATGTATATGTAATAAAAGTTTTAAATTATTTAATATTTATAAAATTAATAAATATTTTAAAATATTAAATTATTTTTATAATAAATAATAATTTTATGTTAGAAAAATAAATAATTTTGAACACTTTTAAATAAAAGAAAATTAAAGTAAACCAAAATTTTTAAAAAAAGATGCTGAAAAAAACAAAGGGGGTTATAAATAAAAGGAATAAACTTACAATTGAATTTAACAGTTGTTCGTTGGACTCTCGTGGATCCGGTGCATAGCTGAAGACACAGCATGCTGAGTCGTCGCACATTTGTCACCCAAACGCAAAAATGACGCAGTTTATAATCCTTCAACCACGCCTCATCATGGCTACGTTTAAATTCAAATTAGGCTTTAATTTAATTGATTTTAAGTATAAAATAATTAAATTGATGAAAAATTACCATTTGCATTAATAAAATATTTTGCAAAATATTTTGATTTCGATATTTTTTATTTTATCTAAAAATCAATGGGCTTGAAAATATAATAACAATTTATCAGTTGCATTAAAAAAATTTATGAAATATTAATTCTATTAATTTTCGTTCAAAAATCAACAAAACTGAAAATATATAGACAAAATTTACTAAAATTGAAATCCAGTAAAAAATTAAATATTGAGTCATTGACAAATTTCACCTTAATACCT